TGCACAACCTACCTAAACTGACACAAACTGAAACTGAACATCTGAATAGACCCATTATAAAAGAAGAAATTGAAAAGGTAATACAACAACTTCCTACCAAAAAAAGCACTGGACCAGATGATTTTACAAGTGAATTTTATAAAAAAATTCAGAGAAGAACTGTCACCAATTCTACATAAATTATTTCAGAAAACAGAAAAAATGGAATTCTTCCACACTCATTCTATGAAGCAAATATATCCATGATACCAAAGCCAGGAAAGGACACCACCAAAATGGAAAACTATAGGCCAATATCTCATATGAACATAGCTGAAAAAATCCTGAATAAAATCCTGGCCAATAGAATCCAATGATATATCAAAGAAATAATTCACCATGACCAAGTGGGATTCATAACAGGTATGCAATGATAGTTCAACATAAGGAAAACAAGTAATGTAATTCATCCCATTAACAAAGCAAATAACAAGAACCACATAATCCTATCAATTGATGCGGAAAAGGTCTTTGACAAAATCCAACACTCTTTCCTGATTAAAATATGGAACAAAATATGATTAGAGGGGATTTCTTCAACATATTAAAAAGTATTTCTGCAAACCCGAGAGCCAACATTGTTCTCAATGGACAGAGGTTAAGCACATTCCCTTTAAGAACAGGAACTAGGTAAGGATGCCTGCTATTACCTCTCTTATTCAATATTGTATTGGAAGTCTTAGCAATAGCAATAAGACAAGAGAAGGGAATAAAAGGTATCCAAATTGGCAAAGAGGAGGTAAAATTATCTCTATTTGCAGATGATATGCTAGTATACTTAGAAAACCCTAAAGACTCAGCAAGAAAACTACTGGATACAGTGGACCAATTCAGCAAAGTGGCAGGATACAAGATCAACATACAAAAATCAGTCGGATTTCTCTATAGTGACATAGAGAATACAGAGCCAGGACTAAGAAAAACAATACCCTTCACAATAGCTAATCACAAGATTAAATACTTGGGAGTAAATTTAACCAGAAGCACAAAGGATCTATTCAAAGAAAATTACAAAACATAACTACAAGAGACAAAAAGTGTCCGAGAGGCTGGTTCGGCCCAGGGGGCCGTTGGGCTCCAGACAAATAAACATGGAGTCTATCTTCCTCGAGAAACAAGAAGGCTCACTTTGTGCTCAACACTGCCTGAACAATCTGCCGCAAGGGGAATATTTCAGCCCCATGGAATTATCCTCAATTACACACCAGCTGGACGAAGAGGAGAGGATGAGAATGGCAGAAGGAGGCATTACGAGTGAAGACTACTGGACATTTTTACAGCAGCCTTCTGGAAATATGGATGACAGTGGGTTTTTCTCCATCCAAGTGATAAGCAATGCCTTGAAAGTTTGGGGTTTAGAACTAATCCTGTTCAATAGTTCAGAGTATCAGAGGCTCAGGGTCAATCTTATAAATGAAAGATCTTTTATATACAATTATAAAGAACACTGGTTTACAGTTAGGAAATTAGGAAAACAGTGGTTTAACTTGAATTCTTTCTTGACAGGTCCAGAATTAATATCAGACACATATCCTGCCCTTTTCTTGGCTCAGTTACAACAGGAAGATTACTCTATATTTGTTGTTAAGGGTGATCTGCCAGATTGTAAAGCTGACCAACTCCTTCAGATGATCAGGGTCCAACAGATGCAGCAACCAAAACTTATTGGAGAAGAATTAGCGCAGCTGAAAGATCAGAGTTCAGAAAATAGATCTGGAATGAGTCTTGGAAGAAAGTGATGGGCCAGGAATGGTAGATGAAGATGAAGAGTATTTGCAGAGGGCTCTGGCCCTTAGTCACCATGAAATTGACCTGGAGGATGAAGAGGCAGATCTTTGTAGGGCTATTCAGCTCAGCATGCAAGGTAGTTTCAGAAATGCATCCCACGATACCCCACAGACATCAGGTACAAACCTTAATTCAGAAGAACTGCGGAAGAGAAGAGAAGCCTACTTTGAAAAGCAGCAGCAGCAGCAGCAGCAGCAGCAGCAGCAGCAGCAGCAGCAGCAGCAGCAGCAGCTGGAGACAGATCTGCAGGGACCAGTTTCACTTGCATCTGAAAAGCCGACCACAAGTTCAGGAGCACCTGGGAGCGAATTCAGTGATGCTATGAGTAAAGAAGATATGCTTCAGGCAGCTGTGACCATGTCTTTAGAAACTGTTAGAAATAATTTGAAAATGGAAGGAGAAAAATAACATTGCCTTGTAAAAGCATTTAGCTGTCATACTTCCCAACATTATACTGTGTGATGACAACATGGAGTTGTTTACAGTCATTTCTTACAGAGAACCATGTACAATGGCAGAATCAAGATTTGTAGGGTGGTTTGCAAGCAAAATAATGAAAAGTGGCACAGTGCGTCAGTCGGAGGTCTAAATAATGACTGCCTGAACACGAGACAAAGAGGCATTCAGCAAAAAAGGGGGGGGACAAAAAGAGACCTGGTAAAGTGGAAGAATATCCCTTGTTCATGGACAGGAGGACTCAAAATTGTGAAAATGGCAATACTACCAAAGGCAATTTACAGGCAATTTATTTCAATGCAATCCCAATACAAATACCAATCCCATTCTTCAACGAGATGGAAAAGGCAATCTCCAGTCTCATTTGGAATGAAAAGAAGCCCTGAATAAGCAAAACACTCCTTAAAAATAGAAGAAAAGGTAGAAGACATCTCAATCCCTGATTTCAAATCCTTCCACACTGCCGTGGTGGTTAAGACAGCATGGTAGTGGAACAATGACAGACAGATAGATCAATGGAATAGAATTGAGAATCCATCTATCTATGGTCAACTGATTTTTGACAAGGAGATGAAACCAGTTAAGTGGGGAAATGACTGACTTTTTAACAAATGGTTTTGGCAAAATGGGAAAAGTGTCTGCAAAAGACTCAAGCAAGAACCACACTTCACTCCATATACAAAAACCAGCTCAAGGTGGATCACGGACCTAGGACTAAAACCAAGGACTATAATCTTCATTAAAGAAAGGGTTGGAAGAAGGCTAGAGGTTCTTATCCACAACATTAGCAGTCTTCCAAGTATCCTAAAAGCCCACCAGGAGAAGATAAAATAGATGAATGGGACCTTCTAAGAATCAAATCCCTATGACATCCAAAAACTTCTCCAACAGGGTAAAAAGGGAAGCCACAAACTGGGAAAAAGTGTTTGGTAATGACATCAGATAAGGAACTTATATGCAGAATTTATAAAATACTTGAGCACTACAACAAGATAAAGGTAGATAATCCAATTGAAAAATGGGCACAGGATTTGAACAGACAATTCACCAAAGAAGACAATCAGATGGCTAACAAACACATGAAGAAGTGTTCAAAATCCCTAGCTCTAAAAGAGATGCAAATCAAAACACCTATGAGATATCATCTCACCCCAGTCAGAATAGAAAAATTTAACTGAACAGCAAGCAACAAATGTTGGCAAGGTTGTGGAAAAACTGGAACCCTTATTCACTGTTGGTGGGAGTGTAAAATGGTGCAACCACTGTGGAAGGTAGTATGACTTTTTCTCAAAAAGTTGCAAATAGAGATACCATTGGACCCAGTAACTCCACTACTGGGAATATACCCTAAAGAGACCATAACTGACATTCAAGCAGATATATGCACACCCATGTTTATCACGGCTTTGTTCACAATAGAAAGGAGTTCAAAACAACCTAAGTGCCCATCAACAAACGAATGGATAGAGACGCTGTGGTATATTTACACAATGGAATACTATACTGCATTGAAAAACAAGGAACTCATGCAATATTATTCAAAATGGGTGACCCTGGAAGACATTATGCTGAGTGAAGTATGTCAGTCACAAAAGGACAAATACTGCATGATACCACTGTTGTAAAACAGGATATAACAATAATAAATATCTAAGCACCAAATGAAAGACCTGCAAAATACATAAAACAAACATTAAAAAAAGTAAAAAAGGAAATAGAGAACACCACTATAACAGTTGGAGACTTCAATATACCACTCTCAAGATAGAACTACCAGAAAGAAACTCAACAAAGATGCTCAAGAATTAAACCACATAGTAAACCAACTTGATATCATGAATATTCATAGACTAATGCACCCTAAAATAGCACAGTATATCTTTTTCTCTAATGTGTATGGACTGTCCTTAAGAATAGATCACATTTTAGGTCACAAAGCAAGCATCAAGAAATAAAAAAAACCAACATAGAAATAATACAAAGCATCTTCTGAGACCACAATGCTACAAATTAGGAATCAGTAATAAGAGCATAAAGGAGAAAAAAACCCCATACGTTTGGAAGCTGAACAACACCTTGCTTGAACATGACTGAGCATTAGAAGAAATAAAAAATGAAATTAAAAAGTTCCTTTAAAGAAATGAAAATGAAAACACAACTTACCAAAACCTCTGGGAAACAGCCAAAGTAATAATCAAAGGTCAATTTATAGCAATAAGCAAACACATCAAAACGCAGGAAAAAAAATGACTATTGACTCTCTAACCCAATATCTCCAATAAATTGAAAAAGAACAGCAAGAAAACTTGACACCCTCTAAAAAACCTGAAATTATAAAAATTAGGGCAGAAATAAATGAAATAGAAAAAACCCCAACCAATCAAAACCATTAACAAAACTAGGAGTTGGCTCTTTGATGATCACACAGAATAGGACAGCCTTTAGATACGTTGTTCATAGGATCACTATGAGTCATACTTGAATTGACAGCCCTTAACAACAACCACAACAGTAACAATAACAAAGAACATGTCATCTTGTTATAAAAGACTACTGGAGACTTGCAACTGAGAAAAAATAATGCTATAAAGTTATGTAGTTACAAAAGAATATAGGTAGAAGTCTTAAACCTCTTGGTTTTATGCCAAAACACTTCAGATACTTGCTCCTTTGAAACTTTCCATTCTTCCTGCCAACTATCAATGCACAGTTCATACCTGAGCAGATGACACTTGCATCCTGATGATGTAAGCAGCTGTGATTCCCCCAGCCATTGGATGGGCACATCCACACGTGGGACTCTTTTCCTGTGCATTCCAGGTTTTCCAGCAAGATAGGTCCTGAGCCCTTTCCAAAGATAGGCCAGGGTATGGCATTGAGGGCCCATCCACAGTCTGTCTGTTTGCACACCACATGGGCATCCTGCATGTCCCACTCACTGCCACAGACAGTGCCCCAGGAACCCTGGTAAAAGATCTCCACTCTCCCAGCACAGCGACTGTTCCCATCCACCAGGCGAAGCTGTATCTTCTCTGAGAAGAGAGAGACATGTGAATAGGGATATTTATACAGATATGATAAAGGCAATATCTCCTTTTGAAATCTCTTACCTGAGCTGTTGGTAGCACTACTCTCTGAAATTGAAGAGTTTGCTGCATCAGACAGGAAGCTGTACCTGGGCAGTAGCTGAGTCTGGTTTCCTATAGAAACAGCATGATCAGAAGTCAGCAGTGTTGGAGAAACAGAAATAAAATGGAACTGAAATAATCTAGTGAGTGGAAGTCATTAGATAAGTCTTAGGAATGTTAACCTTCTAATTTGTGTAGTTTTCGTCAGGGCCTGAAAAGCAAATACTAAAAATGTCAGAATATCTACTCTGAATGGTTATCATTAACACTCTTCTGAATGAGCAGAGCCGGCGAGTTCAGTCAAAGTGTCACTGCCATGAGTCAGCAGCTGGACTATTTTCTTATAAATTATACACATTAAGTACCATTGTCCTGGATATAGAAGTCACTAAAATGAGTGAACAAAGAAAATGGGCCTAGAAACTGGGACTCTAATAACAAGATAAATCTAAAATGAATTTTTTTTTTGTTATGCACGATCATTCAGAGCTGAAGAGTGAATGGATTATGAGAGAGTCTATGGCTTACTCAAGAGGACTTCCCTTATGATCAGATCATGCAACCTCAGACACCAGATATGGTTACTTAATTTCAAATAATACTCTCCTTTTTGGATAGATCGGTCAATTTCCTAGGAGATATGATCTGACATTGGCCTAAGTTCCCATGAAATCCCTGAGCATTGCCCCATCACTACAGCAAATTTCACCGCTACTCCTCTGTACCAAGAAATTTAGCTTCCTTCAGACTGGAAGAGTTAGAAGGAAATGTTCTGGAGTTCCCATTCATCTCAATATTAGCCACAGTCAATAGCCTTTATATATAGTTCAATAAAAACAAATACTTATTCTTCTGGTATTCTCTGCTTTCAGCCAAGATCCATCTGACATCAGCAATGATATTCCTAGTGCCATGACCTCTTCTAAACCCAGCTTGCACATCTGGCAGTTCTCTGGTCATTTTGAAGATTCTGCTTGACCATAATATTAGTGATATTGTTCAATAATTTCCATATTCTGTAGGATAACCTTTTTTTGGTAATGGGAATAAATATTTATCTCTTCCAGTCAGGTGGTCCTCCAAATTTCTTGGCACAATCTTGTGAGCACATCCTTTGCTGCATCTGTGTGTTGAAATATATCAACTGGTATTCCATCAATTCATGGAGCCTTATATTTTGCCAATTCCTTTAGAACAGTGTAAACTTTCCCTTTGTTACCATTGGTTTTTTCCCCCCTGAAATGGTTGTGTTAGTCAACTCTTTTTGGTGCTGTGACTCTGTCATTACATGGTTTAAAATTAACAAAGGCTTACATTCAAGGCTCTATCCTTTCACCATACATATTCAATCTACATTCTGAACAAAGAATTTGAGAAACTGGACTTTATGAAGAAGAACACAGCACTGGGATTAGAAGAATCATCAACACTGCATTATAGATAGGACACAACCTTGCTTGCTGAACTCAAGAAGGATCTGAAACACTTGCTGCATAAGATCAAGGATTACAGTCTTCAATATGGATGGCGTCTCAATATCAAGAAAAAGAAATTTTCACCACTGGACAAAGAGGTAACATTATGTTGTTGTTGTTATGTGCCATTGAGTTGCTTGTGATTCATAGTGACCCTATGTACAATAGCCCTAAACTCTGCTCTGTCCTGTGCCAATCTCACTGTCTCCAATACACCCATCCCAATTATCCCAATCCACCTCATAGAGGGCCTTCCCCTCCTGCACGGTCCCTCCACCCTACCAAGCATGATGTCCCTCTCCAAGGACTTGTCGTTCCTTACAACATGTCCAAAGTATGTTAGATGGAGCCTCCGAATCCTTGCCTCCAGGAAGCTGTCCGGTTTAACCCTTTCCAGAATGAATCTGTTTGTTTTCTTGGCAGTCCATGGTACTCTCAATACTCTTCTCCAGCACCACAGCTCAAAAGCATCAATTCTCCTTCTATCCTCCTTAGTCACTGTCTAACTATCTGATGCATAACAAGTGACAGCAAAGATCATGGACTGTATCAGACGCACCTTAGTCTCCAGAGAGACACCATTGCTCTTCAGTACTTTGGAGAGGTCCCTAACAGCAGACTTTCCCATGGCAATACACCTTTTAATTTCCTGGCTACTGGTGCAAAGTGTGTTGACTGTGGACTCAAGCAAACTAAAGCTGTGAACAATCTCAATCTCTTCACCATCCATCCTGATGCTGCCAATTGGTCCAGTGGTGAGAATCTTTGTCTTCTTGACATTGAGCCTCAATCCATATTGGAGGTTGCAGTCCCTGACCCTTTGCAGCAAGCGCTTCAGGTTCTCCTCACTTTCAGCAAGCAGGGTTGTGTCATGTGCATAACGCAGATTGTTGATAGATCTTCCACCAATCTTGACCCCACATTCCTCCTCACAGAGTCCAGCCTCCCGGATAATCTGTTCTGCATATAGGTTGAAAAGGTATGGAGACAGGACACATCCCTTGTGAATGCCCTTCCCAATTTTGAACCATGCAGTGTTTCCTTACTCTGTTCTGACGACTGCCTCTTGGTCCAAATATAGGTTTCTTATTAGCACAATCAAGTGTTCTGGAATTTCCATTCTTCTCAGAGTCAGCCACAGTTTGTTATGATCCACACAGTTAATACCTTTGCATAGTCAATGAAACATAGATATTCATTCCTCTGCTATTCCCTGCTTTCAGCTAAGATCCATCTAACATTATCTACAATATCCCTAGTACCACGACCCCTTCTTAGCCCAGCCTGGACTTCTGGCAGTTCTCTGTTGATGTTCTAGTAGTTTCTGGGTAATTTCAGTAGAATCTTGCTTGCATGTGAAATCAATTTTTATAGTTTTAGGTATTGTTTTATAGTTTCCACACTCTGTTGGGTCACCCTTCTTTGGAATGGGAACAAATATAGATCTCTTCCAGTCAATGGGCCAAGTGGTTATTCTCCAGATTTCTGGCAAACTTTGTGAGCACGTCCAGAGTAGCATCTGTTAGCAGAAATATGTCAGTTGGTATACTATCTATTCCTGGGGACTTATTTCATGCCATTTCCTTCAGAGCAGCCTGAACTTCTTCCTTCATCACCATAGGCTCTTGCTCATATGTTGTTTCATGAAATTCTTCTGTGTTTGCAAATTCCCTTTTTCCCCCTTTTTTCTTTCTCCCCCCCCCAATTCCTTTCGATACAGTGACTCAGTATATTCTTTCCTGGATTATTTAATATTCTGCCTAAAGCATCCTTGATTATAGCAACTTGAAGTTTGAATTTGTTCTTCAGTTCCTTGAGCTTAAGAAATGCTGAGCGAGTTCGACTCTTGATTTTCTGACTCCAACTCCTTGCACATTTCATTGTAATATTTTACTTTGTCATCGCGTGCTGTCTTTTGAAATCTTCTATTCAACTCTTTAGTATCTTGAATTCTTCCTTGTGCTTTGGCTTCTCTGACTTTATCTGATTTGAACCTACAGCCAACATCCTTGTTAATAATAGTAGTTAGGAGATCAGGAGATGTATATTATTGGGAATGTGTGAACTTATCTGGAACTTCTGTAAAGTCCTAAAGATTAATAATCAGTTTAAAGACAAAGGTGTGCCTGATTAAAGACATAGTCTTTTCAATCTTCTGCTATGTATCCGAAAGCTGGACAATAATTAAAGATAATAAAAGAATAAATTTCCTTTTTGAGCCTTTGGGTTGTGTTGTTGGAGTAGAGTACTGAGTTTAAATGGACTACCAAAAGAATCCATATGTCTTGGAGAAAATGCAACCAGAGTGCTCTTTAGAGGCAAGGATGGTGAAACTTCATCTCACATACTTCGGGCATGTTGCTTGGAGGTGTTATTCTCTGGAAAGAGAGATCATAGTGTAAACATGGAAGGTCAGGAAAAGAAAGGAAGACCCTCAGCGAGATAGATCAATACAGTGACTATAGTAATGGGCTTAAGTGTATAAAGATGATGAGGATGGGATGGCATAGGACAGGGTTGATATCTGTTGTTTATAGGGTCGCTATGAGTCATACATGACTCAGTGGTACCTAACAAGAACAACAACAATGCACTCACTAGACTGGCTCCTTGGGGGACCTTACCTTCATGCTTTTGTAAGATGCCACCACCAGTGTGGCATGGCTGGCATCTCCCATCCACTGCTCCCCCTGTGTCTGCTAAAGGCTGTGGTCAACCCCAGGTACACTCACACCCTGGCCGCAACAGAATCACTGCCTGCCAGGTTGAGGGCCTACAGTTTTAGAACTCTTTCCCACCTAGAGCACAAGACCACTGTCACCACAACCTGGAGAGCCCACTGCTCCCCCACCTGAAGACCACCCAGCTCCTTCCCTCATATCCAGTTCCAGGTGCACCAATATCACAGGTACTTTTGAGGAAACACTTCTGTCTAGCTACACCATGAGAATCCCTTAAGCTCAAGCAGAAGGGAACGGGACACCTTGAGGCAGGAGGAGACACCATTTCTGGAAGGGAACAACAGGCTTCCTAGCTTACCATTCAGGTACTTTGGGGGAAACACTGCTGTGGGACCATCAGCCCTGCATGTCTTGGGCCAAGAAGGGAGCACAAATATACGGGTCTTTCAGAAAACATTGCCACACTCTGGGTCATTATATAGTTACAACAACCTAGCAGCAGTCTGCCTTAGTCATCATGAAAAACACAAAATAACCTTTCTCTTAAAGAAGCAGACCCAATGAATACCCCTGCTAGAGATAACCAGAAGAAATATGTTGATGTGGAGTTATTTGAACAGCTACAGAAGAAGATGCAAATGATGGAAGAAATAATTAAGAGAGAAAACACCATAGAGAAAACAATCCAGAAGAAATATTTTGAAAAGGAGCAACTTGAATAGCTGTGGAAAAAGGAAAAGAATGGAAGAAAAAATTGATAATATAGATAAAGTGATACAAAATTTAAGAGATCATCTCAAGACAGAGTGGGAACAGCCATATAGTACAAGAAAGAACAGAAGTGCCTAAAAATGTAATGCAAAATAGTAAGACCAAAATAGCAGAAGTATCCAACAAACATAAAAATAAACCAAACTTACAAATTAACTATAATTACAGTTATAAATTTATAAAATGAAAATGAAAAATATTGAAGAGACAAGA